ATTGATATGCCTAAAGTTTGTTATAATTAACTTTTCTACCGCGTATTTAACTAAAAGGTAACACAAGTTGAGATTGTTGTGTAAATTATCTTAGAGTAGTTTTACAATTATTATAAACCAAAATGCTTTTAACGGCTATAAAAATATGATATCAACAAACACAACCCACAACAATAAACATACAACATTTTACAATTCTAAACAAATAAATCAAAAGATTTCTGAAAAGATTTCTGTGATTTTTGTTCCGTGACCTAATTTCTGTGACTTTTTTTCCGATAAATTTTTTTCCATTGTGACTTTTTTTCTGTGACTTATTTCCAAGCAAAAACTGTGCCTTTTTTCCCGTGTTTTTTTTTTTCCTGTGACTTTTTTCCCGTTCACCATTTGCAAAGACCCTTTGGTTAGAAGTGAGCGGTCAGACAGGGAGACAGACAGGGAGACAGACAGGGAGACAGGCAGGGAGACAGACAGGGAGACAGACAGGGAGACAGGGAGACAGACAGGGAGACAGGGAGACAGACAGGGAGACAGACAGGGAGACAGGGAGACAGACAGGGAGACAGGGAGACAGACAAGGAGACAGACAGGGAGACAGACAGGGAGACAGACAGGTAGTCAGACAGGCAGTCAGACAGGGAGACAGACAGGGAGTCAGACAGGGAGACAGACAGGGAGACAGACAGAGAGTCAGACAGGCAGTCAGACAGGGAGACAGACAGGGAGTCAGACAAGGTCAGACAGGGAGACAGACAGGGAGACAGACAGGGAGACAGACAGGGAGACAGACAGGGAGACAGACAGGGAGACAAACAGGGAAACAGACAGGCAGTCAGACAGGGAGAAAAACAGGGAGACAGACAGGGAGACAGACTGATAAGGCAGCCATGTTAGCCCAGGTGGGTTGTCACAATGTCACGTGCACTGCCCATCATCCGGTCCCACGTGTACATAACTGTTGACTGGTAACCTAGGAAACCAGACAGTTACCTTCCCATGGCCTCATTCTCAACCAAGTTTCTTTTTTCTTAGTGTACAGGTGCTTTGGAAGAATTGGGGGAGGGGTGCATTGATCCTTTTTAGCGTCTCGGCCCTAGTGTCCTTCCAGCACCAAATTCTAATTGTGCTCTTGATTGAGGTCAATTAGCCGGGCGACAGGCGAGTTGTAGAGGTAAGGTTGTCGTGTCAGACACGTGAATTGGGCGACCGTTGGAATCAATCATGCCAAGGTCACGTGGGTATCAGGAAGGGGAAGGGCTGGTGTGTGTTTACCAGCAGGCTTGGTGAGTACCATGGAGCAGGTCAGGCGGTGCGTTATGAGTAAGTCACACATTCCAATGGGCGGGGCGACAGCGCGTGAGCAGATCTTGACATTTTTTATTGGCCCGCCAGCCGGCAGCCATCTTGTATTGGGTTCATACAGGGAAATAACAGCTGGCCACAATGGCGGGGCTAGAGAATGGACGGTGCTTAAGTCGTCGATCTGTTTTGTTTAGGAATGTCGGTGGTAGAGCAGGGGAATAGCTAGTGGCGGTGCTTAAGTCGTCGATCTGTTTTGTTTAGGAATGTCGGTGGTAGAGCAGGGGAATAGCTAGTGACGGTGCTTAAGTCGTCGATCTGTTTTCTCCAGGAATGTCGCCTCCACGCAAATCATGCTTTAAACATGTGCTGCGTTTCTTTTAAATTATAAATCAATAGCTGTATCTAGTAGTGCACATAAATATTGTCATAGGTTAATAGAATAAAACAGGTGAAGTAGAGTTCAGGTAATACAGGTGGGTAGTTATGAGCTAATACATGTGGAAAATAATGGGCTTATACATGTGCAAAGTTATGGGCTTATACAGGTAAGTAGTAATTAGCTGATCCAGGTGGGTTGTAATTAGCTGATCCAGGTGGGTAGTAATTAGCTGATCCAGGTGGGTTGAATGAGTGACCAGTTGACCAGGGATATATTTTACCTACTAGGACATGGCTTGTCAAGGCCACCCAAAACCTGATCGACTCAATCTATAATTGATGGCTCCAGGGCCATCGATCTCGCTGACTCACGCGAGAAGAATGTCTTCATGTCATATGGCGCAGTCTCGGAGTTTCAAGGTCATCACAGGTATAGTGTCAAGGTCACGAGATGGTGTTCTGTGCTGACAACCAGATAGACAACTGTGCCAATTATGAGACACACATACACACTATATATATATATATATATATATATATATATATATATATATATATATATATATATATATATATATATATATACAGAGGCGTAGCGAGGGGGGGGGGGCGGGGAATGCGGACCGCACCGGGTAACACCATCTAGGGGGGTGACACCAAGGCAAAAAAAGCAAAATATATAGAGAAAAACTTGACGGGGGGGGGGGGGGGTTGCAAATCGAAAGTTCGAGGGGAAGGGGGGAGGGTGCAAATCGAAAATTTGAAAGTTTGTCCCCGGGAAGGGTCTCTACGCCTCTGGGGGGGGGGGGGGGTGACACCATTAAGTGCCGCACCGGGTGACACCCGACCTCGCTACGCCACTGTATATATATATATATATATATATATATATATATATATATATATATATATATATATATATATATATATATATATATATATATATATATATATATATATATATATATATATATATATATATATATATAAACTAAGCATGGCAAGTCTCTTGCTGGGAAGTGCTTATATTTGTTAACGATAGGGGTAATTCGCAATCTGCTCATATCCTGCTGTATTTTTCTTCTATTTTTAGGCATACATATCTTTGGAATTTTAGTGGTGCTTATATCCGACAACGTTAGAGGATATGGTTGTGGTTAGGGTTATTGTTAGGGATCTGTATTTCTTTTAGGCATCTCTTCGGGTGGGGGGGGGGCGCACAACCCCCCCCCCCCCCCCCCCCACGCGACATAAAGATCTGAAGGAAACAGTTATACAAAGTCTAAGAAAATAATTTTAATGATTTTTTTTAATGGTAAGAATTTTAACAAAATTGACATTCAGATCTACACTTGATGCAGAAGTGTTTTTGCTTTTGACAGTTTTGACAGGTTCCCTGTACAGATCCAGAAAAATTCTGTTGTTGCTGCTTGCAACAGGTTCTGACCAGTCTGGAGAAGGTTCCGGTCAAACTTTTATATTAACAACTTTTTTATTTGACTTTTTTTTCTTCATTGACATCACACGTGACGTCACACGTCAATTAGGTGCAGATGTTTCTGACACACGTTTTTGTTCATTGATACAAGCATCCCTACTAGTTCTGGTGTTAATAAACATTCGAGTTCATCTACTCGAGAAGATTCGAATACATGTACTTGAACTTTTCAATGTGATTGCGTGTAATCGATGCCATTAAAAATCGAGCTTGAAGCTGCCATCTCCACCCAAACAAACGGCCGCTCGATTCTGTTTGGGTTTTCCGTCTGTTCTGTCTGTATTTAGACCGTGATGTCATTGCCGTCAGCAGCTACCAATCGATGCACTGTGCAATTTATCGATCACTTCTGCCTTTTTTTTTTAAATTTGTTTCTTCCAAACATCAGCTGTAGTGCCGCCATCTGTGGCGGGGAGTAGCGCTAGGCGAGGGTGACAGAAGCAAACACTGCTACTAGCTGGGTTCTTTCCTCTAGTCTGGTTTGTTAACCTCACTCAAGGCGTAGTCACGATTTTTAAATGATTTACCCCCCCCCCCCCCCCATCCCATCTCACACCCCACTGTCTCCTGCCTATGTAAACACCTTATGATGACACTGGAGTTCCCTCCTAATCAGCCCCAGATCACTCATACGTGTCACATCACACACCGACCCCTCCCCACATGGCCCACCACAACACCCGACCCCCACATGGCCCACCACAACACCCGACCCCCCACATAGCCCACCACAACACCAGACCCCCACATGGCCCACCACTACATGGCCCACCACAACACCCGAACCCCACATGGCCCACCACTACACCCGACCCCCACATGGCCCACCACTACATGGCCCACCACTACACCCGACCCCCACATGGCCCACCACAACACCCTACCACAACATGGCCCACCACTACATGGCCCACCACAACACCCGAACCCCACATGGCCCACCACTACACCCGACCCCCACATGGCCCACCACTACATGGCCCACCACTACACCCGACCCCCACATGGCCCACCACTACATGGCCCACCACTACACCCGACCCCCACATGGCCCACCACTACATGGCCCACCACAACACCCGAACCCCACATGGCCCACCACTACACCCGACCCCCACATGGCCCACCCCCACATGGCCCACCCCCACATGGCCCACCACTACACCCGACCCCCACATGGCCCACCACTACACCCGACCCCCACATGGCCCACCACTACACCCGACCCCCACATGGCCCACCCCCACATGGCCCACCACTACACCCGACCCCCACATGGCCCACCACTACACCCGACCCCCACATGGCCCACCCCCACATGGCCCACCACTACACCCGACCCCCACATGGCCCACCCCCACATGGCCCACCACTACACCCGACCCCCACATGGCCCACCCCCACATGGCCCACCACTACACCCGACCCCCACATGGCCCACCACTACACCCGACCCCCACATGGCCCACCCCCACATGGCCCACCCCCACATGGCCCACCACTACACCCGACCCCCACATGGCCCACCACTACACCCGACCCCCACATGGCCCACCCCCACATGGCCCACCACTACACCCGACCCCCACATGGCCCACCCCCACATGGCCCACCACTACACCCGACCCCCACATGGCCCACCACTACACCCGACCCCCACATGGCCCACCCCCACATGGCCCACCACTACACCCGACCCCCACATGGCCCACCCCCACATGGCCCACCACTACACCCGACCCCCACATGGCCCACCCCCACATGGCCCACCACTACACCCGACCCCCACATGGCCCACCACTACACCCGACCCCCACATGGCCCACCCCCACATGGCCCACCCCCACATGGCCCACCTCCACATGGCCCACCACCACATGGCCCACCACTACACCCGACCCCCACATGGCCCACCACTACACCCGACCCCCACATGGCCCACCACAACACCCGACACCCACATGGCCCACCACAACAACCGAACCCCACATGGCCCACCACTACACCCGACCCCCACATGGCCCACAACTACACCCGACCCCCACATGGCCCACCCCCACATGGCCCACCACTACACCCGACCCCCACATGGCCCACCACTACACCCGATCCCCACATGGCCCACCCCCACATGGCCCACCACTACACCCGACCCCCACATGGCCCACCCCCACATGGCCCACCACTACACCCGACCCCCACATGGCCCACCCCCACATGGCCCACCACTACACCCGACCCCCACATGGCCCACCACTACACCCGACCCCCACATGGCCCACCCCCACATGGCCCACCACTACACCCGACCCCCACATGGCCCACCACTACACCCGACCCCCACATGGCCCACCACTACACCCGACCCCCACATGGCCCACCCCCACATGGCCCACCACAACACCCGACACCCACATGGCCCACCACAACACCCGAACCCCACATGGCCCACCACTACACCCGACCCCCACATGGCCCACCACTACACCCGACCCCCACATGGCCCACCACTACACCCGACCACCACATGGCCCACCACTACACCCGACACCCACATGGCCCACCACTACACCCGACCCCCACATGGCCCACCACTACACCCGACCCCCACATGGCCCACCCCCACATGGCCCACCACTACACCCGACCCCCACATGGCCCACCACTACACCCGACCCCCACATGGCCCACCACTACACCCGACCCCCACATGGCCCACCACCACATGGCCCACCACTACACCCGACCCCCACATGGCCCACCACCACATGGCCCACCACAACACCCGACCCCCACATGGCCCACCACTACACCCGACCCCCACATGGCCCACCCCCACATGGCCCACCACCACATGGCCCACCACCACATGGCCCACCACTACACCCGACCCCCACATGGCCCACCACAAAACCCGACCCCCACATGGCCCACCACAAAACCCGACCCCCACATGGCCCACCACTACATGGCCAACCACAACACACGACCATCACATGGCCCACCACAACACCCGACCCCCACACGGCCCACCACAACACCCGACCATCACACCCGACCCCCACATGGCCCACCACCACATGGCCCACCACAACACCCGACCACCACATGGTCCACCACCACACCCGACCCCCACATGGCCCACCCCCACATGGCCCACCATTACACCCGACCCCCACATGGCCCACCACTACACCCGACCCCCACATGGCCCACCACTACACCCGACCCCCACATGGCCCACCACTACACCCGACCCCCACATGGCCCACCACTACACCCGACCCCCACATGGCCCACCACTACACCCGACCCCCACATGGCCCACCACTACACCCGACCCCACATGGCCCACCACCACATGGCCCACCACAACACCCGACCCCCACATGGCCCACCACCACACCCGACCCCCACATGGCCCACCCCCACATGGCCCACCACAACACCCGACCCCCACATGGCCCACCACTACACCCGACCCCCACATGGCCCACCACTACACCCGACCCCCACATGGCCCACCACTACACCCGACCCCCACATGGCCCACCACCACACCCGACCCCCACATGGCCCACCCCCACATGGCCCACCACTACACCCGACCCCCACATGGCCCACCACTACACCCGACCCCCACATGGCCCACCACTACACCCGACCCCCACATGGCCCACCACTACACCCGACCCCCACATGGCCCACCACTACACCCGACCCCCACATGGCCCACCACTACACCCGACCCCCACATGGCCCACCACTACACCCGACCCCCACATGGCCCACCACTACACCCGACCCCCACATGGCCCACCACTACACCCGACCCCCACATGGCCCACCACCACATGGCCCACCACTACACCCGACCCCCACATGGCCCACCACCACATGGCCCACCACAACACCCGACCCCCACATGGCCCACCACTACACCCGACCCCCACATGGCCCACCACTACACCCGACCCCCACATGGCCCACCACTACACCCGACCCCCACATGGCCCACCACCACATGGCCCACCACAACACCCGACCCCCACATGGCCCACCACCACATGGCCCACCACAACACCCGACCCCCACATAGCCCACCACCACATGGCCCACCACAACACCCGACCCCCACATGGCCCACCACCACACCCGACCCCCACATGGCCCACCACTACACCCGACCCCCACATGGCCCACCACTACACCCGACCCCCACATGGCCCACCACTACACCCGACCCCCACATGGCCCACCACCACACCCGACCCCCACATGGCCCACCCCCACATGGCCCACCACTACACCCGACCCCCACATGGCCCACCACTACACCCGACCCCCACATGGCCCACCACTACACCCGACCCCCACATGGCCCACCACAACACCCTACCCCCACATGGCCCACCACTACACCCGACCCCCACATGGCCCACCACTACACCCGACCCCCACATGGCCCACCACCACACCCGACCCCCACATGGCCCACCACCACATGGCCCACCACTACACCCGACCCCCACATGGCCCACCACTACACCCGACCCCCACATGGCCCACCACAACACCCTACCCCCACATGGCCCACCACTACACCCGACCCCCACATGGCCCACCACTACACCCGACCCCCACATGGCCCACCACTACACCCGACCCCCACATGGCCCACCACTACACCCGACCCCCACATGGCCCACCACTACACCCGACCCCCACATGGCCCACCACCACATGGCCCACCACTACACCCGACCCCCACATGGCCCACCACTACATGGCCCACCACTACACCCGACCCCCACATGGCCCACCACTACACCCGACCCCCACATGGCCCACCACTACACCCGACCCCCACATGGCCCACCACTACACCCGACCCCCACATGGCCCACCACTACATGGCCCACCACTACACCCGACCCCCACATGGCCCACCACTACACCCGACCCCCACATGGCCCACCACTACACCCGACCCCCACATGGCCCACCACTACACCCGACCCCCACATGGCCCACCACTACACCCGACCCCCACATGGCCCACCACTACACCCGACCCCCACATGGCCCACCACCACATGGCCCACCACTACACCCGACCCCCACATGGCCCACCACTACATGGCCCACCACTACACCCGACCCCCACATGGCCCACCACTACACCCGACCCCCACATGGCCCACCACTACACCCGACCCCCACATGGCCCACCACTACACCCGACCCCCACATGGCCCACCACTACATGGCCCACCACTACACCCGACCCCCACATGGCCCACCACTACACCCGACCCCCACATGGCCCACCACTACACCCGACCCCCACATGGCCCACCACTACACCCGACCCCCACATGGCCCACCACTACACCCGACCCCCACATGGCCCACCACTACATGGCCCACCACTACACCCGACCCCCACATGGCCCACCACTACACCCGACCCCCACATGGCCCACCACTACACCCGACCCCCACATGGCCCACCACTACACCCGACCCCCACATGGCCCACCACCACATGGCCCACCACTACACCCGACCCCCACATGGCCCACCACCACATGGCCCACCACAACACCCGACCCCCATATGCCCCACCACAATAATCGGCCCCATCCCCTCGCCAACCCCCCCCCCCCCCCCCCCCGACACCAACGTCATATCATTATCATCAGCACCACGACCCACTCGCAACCAAGCAACTCCCAAATTTTCCTAACCAATCGCAGAAGCTAAAGTATTAGCCTGCCCGTTGAGTGCTAAAAATAGAAATATAGGTCATCGTGGACAATCCGTAGTGTCGTCAGATTTTGTTATATCTCGAGCGGAACGGTTTTGATTGGTTGAAAAAAGTTGACTTCCAATTAAAAATAGAAAAACAAGTTGCAACCACCATTGGCTGAGGGTGTTGCTGGGGTCATATATCGTTAGGAGTTGTTGCTGGGGTCATATATCGGTAGGATTTGTTGCTGGGGTCATATATCGGTAGGAGTTGTTGCTGGGGTCATATATCGGTAGGATTTGTTGCTGGGGTCATATATCGGTAGGAGTTGTTGCTGGGGTCATATATCGGTAGGATTTGTTGCTGGGGTCATATATCGGTAGGAGTTGTTGCTGGGGTCATATATCGGTAGGATTTGTTGCTGGGGTCATATATCGGTAGGATTTGTTGCTGGGGTCATATATCGGTAGGATTTGTTGCTGGGGTCATATATCGGTAGGAGTTGTTGCTGGGGTCATATATCTGTAGGAGTTGTTGCTGGGGTCATATATCGGTAGGATTTGTTGCTGGGGTCATATATCTGTAGGATTTGTTGCTGGGGTCACACATGGCTGGGGTTGTAGCTGGGGTCATATATCGGTAGGATTTGTTGCTGGGGTCATATATCGGTAGGATTTGTTGCTGGGGTCACACATTGGCTGGGGTTGTTGCTGGGGTCATATATCGGTAGGATTTGTTGCTGGGGTCATATATCGGTAGGATTTGTTGCTGGGGTCACACATGGCTGGGGTTGTAGCTGGGGTCACACCATGCAACAAGCTAAGTTCAGCTTCAAGACGGTTATGAGTTGACACGCTCCACGCACGAGTTAAAGTGTGACTCCTGCCGGTTTGAATGTCTTTTAGTGCAGTAAATCAATCATTCAGTCAGTCAGTCAGTCAGTCAGTCAGTAAGTAACTAAGTAACACTTCTGGACAAGACCACAAAAGTCTTCCAACACTGCCTAACCTGGTACCGAATAGGGTTGAGCGATTTTTTAACCCTGTCTAAACTAGTTTCGATTTGGAAGAACTGACATAAATACTACTCGTGTTAAAATTAGTTTAAGTAATTAAAAGTGCTTAACTGTAACATTAGTTTGAGACATTTTAATTGTTGAGTTTGTAAACTTTGACTTGTCGGGTTAACTTTCAGTAGAAGGGAGACTAATTGTTAACTTTCAGTAGAAGGGAGACAAATTGTTAACTTTCAGTAGAATGGAGACAAATTGTTAACTTTCAGTAGAAGGGAGCCAAATTGTTAACTTTCAGTAGAAGGGAGCCAAATTGTTAACTTTCAGTAGAAGGGAGCCAAATTGTTAACTTTCAGTAGAAGGGAGACAAATTGTTAACTTTCAGTAGAAGGGAGCCAAATTGTTAACTTTCAGTAGAAGGGAGCCAAATTGTTAACTTTCAGTAGAAGGGAGCCAAATTGTTAACTTTCAGTAGAAGGGAGCCAAATTGTTAACTTTCAGTAGAAGGGAGCCAAATTGTTAACTTTCAGTAGAAGGGAGACACATTGTCGAATGATTGCCAGATCAAGTAGAAACAAATAGATACATATCAGCTGTTTCAATGATAATTTTATCATCTTTCAACAGCTGTTTCAATGATAATTTTATCATCTTTCAACAGCTGTTTCAATGATAATTTTATCATCTTTCAACAACTGTTTCTTATGATTTTATCATCTTTCGGCAGCTGTTTCAATGATAATTTACCATCTTTCGGCAGCTGTTTCAATGATGATTTTATCATCTTTCGACAGCTGTTTCAATGATAATTTTATCATCTTTCAACAGCTGTTTCAATGATAATTTTATCATCTTTCGACAGCTGTTTCAATGATAATTTTATCATCTTTCAACAGCTGTTTCCATTTGATTTGAACCCCTCCATAACGCTGCAATGTTTGTTTAAACCTTCACAAATTCCGAGGCTTCTGGTATACAAGTATTGATTGGTTTCAAGCTAAATAGGGCCTACTGCGCATGCGTACGTTATGTAAACAAAGCGTAGTAATTTTTCTCTTTTTTTTCTCTCTCTCTCTCCTCCTCTTTCTCTCTTACAGTCATCCCTATCTC